GGAAGGCCAGGATAGAAAAAAAGGCTGGCCTTTCCAAGCAAGAGGGACGTCTTCAGCTACTGCTTTTGGCACTGGAAAAATCTCACAGCCTATGCTGGGACAGGAACCCAGTTCTCCTGACTTTTCTGCATTTATCTGAAATTTGGACTTTATCTGCACCATCTGCTCGCCTGAATCTCCAGCCTGCTGGTTTACCCTGCAGATTTTGGACTTGCTAACTTCCATAATCATGTGAGTCAATTCCTTTGAGTAAGTCTCTTTCTATGTACAGAGCAATTGATTCTGTTTCTCTGGAGAACCCTGACTAATACAGATAAGAACAGGCAATTCATAGAAGAAATACATAAGCAGAATAAATTACGCACAAATACTCAGCTTCCCTAGAGATCAAGGAGATGCAGATAAAACAACTGGGAAATATCTTCTGTCGTAAGACTGGCAAAAAAAAAATTAAACTGGCATATCCAATGTTGGTGAGTATATGGGAAATAAGTTCACCCAAATACCATGACTGTAGTGTAAATTGGAAAAGTTTAAAGGCAATTTGTCATTAACATTTCAAATGTGCAGATCCTTTCCCCAGCAATGTTACATTTAAGAATTTAACCTCACAAATATGCATTGCATAATTATTTTTAACTTTTAAAAATTGGAAACACATAAAAGCTCATTGCATGAGACTGGTTAGTAAACCATGTGACATTTATAGCGTGAAATACTTGGCAACTAGTCAAAAGAAAACTAATAAAGAAACAAATAAATGGAAAGACATCCTGTGTTCACAGATAGGGAGACTTAATATTGTTAAGATGGCAAAACATCCCAACTTGATCTACAGATTCAGTGCATTCCTATCAAAATCTCAGCTGTCTTCTTTGCAGAGACTGATCCTAAAATTCACATAGAAATGTGAGGGACTCAGAATAATAATAAAAAATCTTGAAAAAGGAGTTGGAGGACTCCCACTTCTCCCAATTTCAAAACTTGCTCCGAAGCTATAGTAATCAAGACAGTGTGGGACTGACACAAGGACAGACACATAGTTTAATGGAATAGAATCAAGAGTCAGAAATAAATCCTCACATTTGCAGTCAATTTATTTTGTCAAAATTAAAAATCACAAGGCCTGGTTAAAGGGGGCTGGAAGGGTTCAGGAATAGGGCAACTCTTTTTGTTACTCTGGAAATTTGGCTTTTTTTTGGCTTCCCTGATGGCAAAATGATTCTCCCTCCTTAAAAGCAAAAGGCAGAGGGAGAGAGATTCCTGAATTGGGGGGTGTAAGGACACTGGAGTGTTTCTTGAGGAACAGGGAGAGGTTCTGCAGTCTTTGGAGGACCTGCACTCTCTCCATAGAAGTGGAGGTTCACTGCATCTGTTTTCACAAGCTGTTAAGTAAGTATATTTTACATTTCTCTGCCATAGTAATCAGAGTGGCTGCCTATGATTCCAATTTTTCTGAATGCTCAGGCTCATACCCTGACTACTATTTACTATCCTTTAAGAGTTATGCCCATATGGCCCATCCAGTCATCCAGAACTGTTTGTCCTACATTCAATGTTCCCAGGATGTTGGGCTTCAGTTTGCTTTTTGCAATTATCCCTACCGAATGCTCTTAATCCTTGCTAAACTCAAAGTGACTGCTTCTAGAAACTCCAACACACACATCCCCTGATCTTTCTATAATCTACTGGTGCTGGGAAATCAGATGACATTTATGTAAAATATATGAAATAAGAGAAAAGAGGCCCTGTGTGAGGAAAACTTTGAGCTCTTTCATGGAAAAGTTTATGATCCTTTAGAGAGGGTTTCTCAGTCTCAGCACTACTGACATTTGGGGCAAAATAATCTTTGTTGGGGGGGGGGGGCTGTCCTGTGCTTTGTAGGATGTTAAGAGGCATCCCTGGCATCTGCCCACTAGATGCCAATAGCACTTCCCCCCAGTTGTGACAACCCAGAATGTCTCTACACACTGCCAAATGTCCCTGGTGGGCAAATCACCCCTTTAAGAATTTTGAGGTACAGTCATCCCTCAGTACCAGCTGGGAAATTGGTTCCAGAATCCCCCACAGATACCAAAATCCATGGATGCTCAAGTCCCTTATATAAAAGGGTGTAGTGTTTGCATTTAGCCTATGCACATCCTCCTGTATACTTTATTATTATTTTTAAATATATCTTTATTGATTTCAGAGAGAGGAAAGAAGAGGGAGAGAGAGAGACAGAAACATCAATGATGAGAGAGTCATTGATCGAGCCCGCAACCCGGGCATGTGCCCTGACTGGGAATCGAACCCTGATCGCCTGGATCCTAGTTCGACACTCAACCGCTGAGCCACGCCCGGCCCAGCCCTCCTGTATACTTTAAATCATCTCTGATTACTTCTCATACCTAATACAATGTAAATGCTATGTAAATAGTTGTTATACTGCACTGTTTAGGGAATAATAAGAAAAAGAATCTGTACCTGTTCAGCACAGATGCCACCATCATAGGTATAACCACATAGTACATACCAGGAACATTTTTTCAAATATTTTTGATCTGCAGTTGGTTGGACCCATGAAATATGGAACCCATAGATACAGAGGGTAGACTTGTTCCAGTCACTCTAGTTTTTCTTTTTTCTTCTGGTTTTGTGTAGTTGTGATTAATAGGTTCATTTACTGATCTCCCTAATATTTTATTAAAATTATGTATGGGCGTGTGCATGCGCATGCTTTGTCAACAGAGGCATAAGCTGTACCCCCTTGCCTCAGGATACACGGGAAGGTAAATATGCACACATGTCACCAGCGTGCAGAACAGTCCCAGTTCTCAGTAGGAGACTTACCCACTGTCTGGACCCTCACGAGCCCCAGGCGGAGCACCACTGCCACGCAATCCCTCAACCCTGCCACTCCTTCCTTACCCAGGCTTGGATTTGCCCCTACCCCTGCCTCACCCTCAGCTCAAGCTCTTCACTTTGCCTACAGGGCTCTCCATCCCTTCTTCCAAGGCTCAGCAACAAGCTTTCCCTGGGCCTCTCTCTCCTGGTGAGTCTCCCATCACCCGTCTCTGTCCGGGCCAGGCCCTTTGGCACTGAGCAGTCTGGCTCCTATTTTTTGCTAATCTGTTTTGTGCAGTACATTTTCCTCTCCTCACCAGCCACGCCGATTCCTGGAAGGCAGTGCCATCTGAAAGGACAAAGCCATTTCCACTACGACCCCATCCCCTTGCCAGGCCTTGTACCAGGCACCCAGCAGCTCCTCAAGCCCCACTATTCTGAATTTGGCACTCAGTCCTTGCCCAAGTCTGCCCTTTCCATCCGGTTTCCTAATGCTCTTTCCAACCCACCCACCCCCAGTCCAGCCACTTCTCCCACCTGCGTTAAAATCTATTCAGCTCAAAAAAAGTGTCCCCAAGGTGGAATTAACTCTCGTCTTCCCGCCTAGAGCTAATCTACTACCTTTTCCCTACACACATCCGTGCACTTGGCACACGACCATGTACCTTACATTAGATAGAATCGGAGTCCGCCTCCCTCCGACACCCATCCCCGCTGTGAGCACCCTGAGGAGGGGCCTGAGGGCTGTTTATTCTTCCCCTCACAACTCCCTTTCCACCCAAAGTTTAATCAGAGTTTGTTGAATACACTGGAAACAGGATGCACAAGGGTCCCAGATCCAGAAGCGGGCATCCTACAAACGCCCTTAAACGCTCACTCTAAGGGGCAACTCCTTCGGCTGTCAGGGTCCCCAGACGGGCGCCGCCCCACCTCGCGCAAACTACCGGACGCCCGCACGAGGCCGAGAGCAAGCCAGGACATCCGTCACGTGACTCTCCAGTCACATGATCCCTGGAAAAGGCGGGGGGAGGAGGAGAGAGGCGGGGAGGGAGGAGAGTGAATTGAGTAGAAAAGCAGCGCAGCATTCCAGGCTGGCCCCGCCTCTACGCCGAGGAGTAGCCAACGGGAGCTGGAGAGCCCGGACGCCTGGCCAATGGAAACCGAGGTGGGCGGGCCATCACGCTGCCAGGCCCGGGGCCCTGAGCCGCCCGGCCGCTGCTCCTCCAGCGAGCGCGGAGCGGGACGCAGGTAAGGAGGTCGGCCGCGCAGAGCTCTCGCTTCCCCTTTCCCAAGGCCCCGGCCACGGGGACGTGGGGGCTTGAGGATCCTCCGGAGTTTCTTTCGGGAGGCAAGAGAAGACTCGCTTAGAGAATCTTCTTTGGGGGTTTGCGATGCACTTGGAGGGAGCTTTATGAAGGGTGGCAATCTAAGCAGAATGGCAGTGATCCTCATTGGAAGGGACGCTCTGCCTCTACCTTCTAGCGTCCCCGGAAGCTGCGGCCCCTTCCCCCAAGCAGGGACCACTCTGTTTTTGAGTCGGCTCCGCCCCCCGCGCCTGGTGGTGGTGGCGGTGGTGGTGGTGGCGGTAGGTAGTCCCCGCGCGGCTGGGAACGGGAGAGGCGCCCGCCCTGGTCCCCGAGCTCAGAGGGCTGGAAGTGGGACTTGAGACCCTGGTCTCCTCAAAGGACTTGGGAGTGGTTGTGTCTGGCTCTCCCTCGCTTCCTTTCTTGCGCCTTGGGACAAGCTAACTTCCGCTTTTCCCGGCCACATTTTTCCCCCCGGCTTAGGCTCCTCGCAGTTGGGTTGGTTCAAATGCTGGGAATCTCTTGCTCCTGACACTCAGAGTTGGGNCATCCTACAAACGCCCTTAAACGCTCACTCTAAGGGGCAACTCCTTCGGCTGTCAGGGTCCCCAGACGGGCGCCGCCCCACCTCGCGCAAACTACCGGACGCCCGCACGAGGCCGAGAGCAAGCCAGGACATCCGTCACGTGACTCTCCAGTCACATGATCCCTGGAAAAGGCGGGGGGAGGAGGAGAGAGGCGGGGAGGGAGGAGAGTGAATTGAGTAGAAAAGCAGCGCAGCATTCCAGGCTGGCCCCGCCTCTACGCCGAGGAGTAGCCAACGGGAGCTGGAGAGCCCGGACGCCTGGCCAATGGAAACCGAGGTGGGCGGGCCATCACGCTGCCAGGCCCGGGGCCCTGAGCCGCCCGGCCGCTGCTCCTCCAGCGAGCGCGGAGCGGGACGCAGGTAAGGAGGTCAGCCGCGCAGAGCTCTCGCTTCCCCTTTCCCAAGGCCCCGGCCACGGGGACGTGGGGGCTTGAGGATCCTCCGGAGTTTCTTTCGGGAGGCAAGAGAAGACTCGCTTAGAGAATCTTCTTTGGGGGTTTGCGATGCACTTGGAGGGAGCTTTATGAAGGGTGGCAATCTAAGCAGAATGGCAGTGATCCTCATTGGAAGGGACGCTCTGCCTCTACCTTCTAGCGTCCCCGGAAGCTGCGGCCCCTTCCCCCAAGCAGGGACCACTCTGTTTTTGAGTCGGCTCCGCCCCCCGCGCCTGGTGGTGGTGGCGGTGGTGGTGGTGGCGGTAGGTAGTCCCCGCGCGGCTGGGAACGGGAGAGGCGCCCGCCCTGGTCCCCGAGCTCAGAGGGCTGGAAGTGGGACTTGAGACCCTGGTCTCCTCAAAGGACTTGGGAGTGGTTGTGTCTGGCTCTCCCTCGCTTCCTTTCTTGCGCCTTGGGACAAGCTAACTTCCGCTTTTCCCGGCCACATTTTTCCCCCCGGCTTAGGCTCCTCGCAGTTGGGTTGGTTCAAATGCTGGGAATCTCTTGCTCCTGACACTCAGAGTTGGGGGGTGCCACCTAGTGGAAGATGACAGAGCTGGGGGCTTGAATAGGCTCCGGTTCTCCCTCTCTGTTTTGGCAGTGTGGATGGGATGGGGTGAGAGAGGCCGCCACTAAACCCTCCAGGGAGGAATTGGGCTCCCCGCTCTCCCATCCCTGGTCCTGAGGGTGTGTGTCTGCCTGTGTGTTCAGTAGACACATACGCTATACTTCCTAACCTCAGGATACCCAAGAAGGACAACAAACATAAATCAGTAGGGTGTTGAATAGTCTGGCATCTGTACAGTCAGGCCTAAGCCAAGAAGTGGGTGGGGCCAGCTGTAGATCTCTTGCCTGGGAGCTGTGGGTGTGGCGCAGAAAGTACAAGGGGCAGGGGTCCAGGACCACCTTCTTCATCCTAACCTGGCCAGGAGATGGCCTCCTGGGAATGGTCTTTGAGCTGGGGAAGGGGCACCGAAACAAGGAGCAACTTTTGAGGCTCTCGCAATCAGTGGTGGCAATTCTAGGACTAGGACCAGTGCTCTATCCTGGCAGCTTCTGCTCTCCCCATTTCTGTCCTGCCTGGGCCACCTGCCCAGGGGATGCTTTTGTCCCACTTCTCTGCTTGGACCCTAGGCCTCTTCCTTCCTAGGGTTTGTGATACATTCCCAGGCACTGTCCATGGTGCCACATGTGAAATGAATCCAGGTCCAATAGGCTCTGGAGCCATCAAAGCCTGTCATCTCAATGACTTGATATATAACATGGGCATGTTACTTACCATCTCTGAGTCTGTCTCCTCCTTTGAAAAGTAAAGGTAATAATTACTACTTTGGATGGTGGTTGCAAAGAAGAAAGAAAATAATGGAGAGTGTTTAAACTGGCTCCCAAGAGGCTCAACAAACATTGCTCTTTTTACCCCTCTACCCCGTTAAACTAGTGGGGCTGGCTAAGCTTGGGGGAAAGTTGTTTAGGAAGTGAGAGGCTGCACCCCATCCCACAGACAGAGGCTGGTTCCTTCTGCTGACTCCGGAGCAGCAGCTGGGTGGGCTCTTGTGGTCTCTCTTCAGGTGCAGCTGAGTTTCGGCTCCAGGATATTGGGAGAGGCCGGGGTAGGGGGGGTGGTATATTTGAGGAGTCTGAAAGGTCCTGGTGGTATTGAGGGCCCTTAGAACATAGTGTCTCAAAGGCTGACCCAGTCTGTGCATCCCTTTCCCATGGTGAGGAGGGGACAGTCAGTGAGCAGGCAGTGGCTGGCCTCTGGGGAGGGCAGCCCAGCCTCCACTGGCCACTTCACTTCCCTTTTCTCAAGTTTCTCAACCCCGTGGTTTTCCATGTTGTCATGTGACATACCCTCCCCCACCACAGGCCTTAGCAGGGTGCAGGTGTGAACACAGTATCAGGCAAGGAGGCATCCAGAGGGGCTAGCTGGGGAAGTGAAAGCCTGGCTTTTCTTCAGAGGGGGGATCAGTCCTTGCACCCCAGCATGTCCTCCCGTTGGCTACTGATGCCTCCCCCACACCCCAGAGGGGCCCCTATTCCCACAGATCAGACCCACAAAAGCCACAAGTCTTCCTGACTTACATGACCACATCTCTACACATTTACCCACAGAGACTCAGATGTTAGGCCACATGTTGAAGACACAGATTCACACATACTCATGTCAGCCTTCATGCTCATGGGTGTACACGCACTAGTGCATGTGTGACACACACACAGGACACATGTAGGAAGCTGAATCTCAGGCCCCACATCTTGCTTCCTCCTTGGACAAGGAGTTGTGGGGGAGGCTTAGGTAGTCCCGGGCCTGGACCTGGGACTGGGCCTAGGGGAAGATTGCCCCAGAATCAAGTGGCATGGACTTAAGCTAGTTGCTAAATGTCTCTTGGTATTTTGCAGGTGGACCATGTGGACTCTGGTGAGCTTGGTGGCCTTAGTGACAGGACTGGTGTCTGGAACACTGTGCCCAGATGGTCAGCTCTGCCCTGTGGCTTGCTGCTTGGACCCAGGAGGAGCCAGCTACAGCTGCTGCAATCCTGTTCCGGTGAGTGCTTTCAGCCCAGGCAAGAGCTGGCAGGTGGGATTTCCCAAAAGGTCATCTTGGATGGGCCAGAGGAAGGGGCCAGACTCTGGTCCTTTGGTTTATCTTCTCCTCTCTTCCCAGAACAAACGGCCCACAGCACTTAGCAGGCATCTGGGCAGACCCTGCCGTATCGATGCCCATTGCTCTCCTGGCCACTCCTGCCTCCATAGTGTCTTGGGGACCTCCAGCTGCTGCCCATTCCCAGAGGTGAGGGTACCATTAGCTCAATGGAGGGGCTCAGGTCTGTGTTTACACGTTTCCTGAAGTCTTCCACCCCAGGTAAAAGGGCCTAGTCAATGCAGGTGTCTCTGTGTCCCACAGGCCGTGTCATGCGGGGATGGCCGCCACTGCTGCCCAAGGGGCTTCCACTGCAGTGCTGATGGGCAGTCCTGCTTCCGAAGATCAGGTGCAGTAGGGGTGGAGGTGGAGGGCAGGCAGATGGGTGGCATGTAGAGCTGGAGCACCCAGGAGCCCAGCTGGCTGGGTGACCCTGATTTCTGCTCTTCTGTCCTCATTCATTTGGCATCTGTACTAAGCAACCCTCCTGCTCTGGACAGAGGGGCAGCACTGGGGCTAGGAGGGGAAGGAGAGAATGCAAGACCCCAGGCCTGGGGCCAGACATTGCAGGGGTGGGGAGAGGCCAAACTGTGCTGGTTTAATGCCAACCCAGTCAATGGATGCCCCTGCCCTGTTCCATATTGCTGAGCCAAGGCCTGGCTTGTGGGAGAGTGGTTTAAGAGTGCCTGGGGCCCTTGGCTGGGTGGCTCAGTTGGTTGGAGCATTGTCCCAAACGCCAAAAGGTTGCAGGTTTGATTCCAGGTCAGGGCACATACCTAGGTTGGGGGTTTGATACTCAGTGGGGCCATGTATGGGAGGCAACCGATCAATGTTTCTCTCTCACATCAGTGTTTCTCTCTCCCCCCTCTTCTTTCTAAAATCAGTAAAACATATCCTCCAGTGAGGATTAAAAAAGAGTACCTAGGAGAATACTGAGTTCTCATGCCAGCTCCCCAATCCCCTGTAGCTGGGTCTGCAGGCCCTGTGCCAGCAGCTTCTTGAGTGATGGGGGTAATGACCTTCACTGACTGGGTTGGTGGAATCCTGGGTCATCTTATCCACAGATACCAACCCCTTGGGTGCCGTCCAGTGCCCCAACAGCCAGTTCGAGTGCCCCAACTCCTCCACATGCTGCACTATGCTTGATGGCTCCTGGGGATGCTGCCCCATGCCCCAGGTACAGGTTTGGGAAGATAGGGGTGGGTGGGGGTGACAGCAGGGGTAGAGTGAGGGGCTGGAGCGGGCAAAGACAGAATCAGGACCATCTCCCCTCAGGCTTCTTGCTGCAAAGACAAGGTGCACTGCTGCCCCCATGGTACCTCCTGTGACCTGGCTCATTCCCGTTGCCTCACAGCCGTGGGCACCCACCCCCTGGCAAAGAAGATCCCCGCACAAAGGACTAATAGAACAGGTGAGGAGATGGGACAGCATCAGGTTGGGGGTTGGAAGTGAGGAGAGACCTTACCTGGCTTCTAGCTGGGGAAAAGTTCCCCTCTACCCTGGCTGCCCCTTACACCTTTTTCCCCTTCCAGGGATCATGTGCCCAGATGGACAGTCCCAGTGCCCTGATGGTTCTACCTGCTGTGAACTTCCTAATGGGAAGTATGGCTGCTGCCCAATGCCTAATGTGAGTGAGGGGCTATAACCAGTTGGCTTATGTGCCCACAGCCACCTAGCCTGGACACCTACCTTTCAGAGACTCCTGGGGAGTGAGGCTGACAGGTTGCTGGGAGCCTGGCTGCTCAGGACTTATGCCACCCCCTAGTGGGGGATTGGGGCAGTGCCAACTGTCAACCTGACTTCCTTGTGCTGGGTTAAGACTGGAAGTCACAAAGACCCACCCCTGCCTTCACCTAGGCCATCTGCTGCTCCGACCACCTGCACTGCTGTCCCCAGGACACTGTGTGCGACCTGGCCCGGCTTAAGTGCCTTTCCAAGGAGAACGCTACGCACCTCTTCACCAAGCTGCCAGCACACACAGGTACCAGAAGCAGGCCACAGCCTATTCCACCTCCTCCATGAGGAGGAGCTCTCCACCAGGCTGTTCCAGGAACAGATATGGGGGCAGGGGACTGATGGCTGCATGGAGGGGCCAGGGCAGGTACAGCCCCCTTTTCTCCACATTGGGCCTCACCGTAGGATCTCTGCCAGGGGTGGCCTTCCATGCTCAACATTTGGTTCCAACTATGGAGCCCGCAAAGGGTAGATACCCCAGAGGGTCCCCAGTGCCATGGCTCACCTGTCCTCCTTGCCCAACTCAGTGCAGGAGGTAAAGTGCGACATGGAAGTGAGCTGCCCAGATGACTATACCTGCTGCCGCCTACAATCAGGGGCCTGGGGCTGCTGCCCTTTTGTTCAGGTACCCAGGAGTGGTGGGTGGTCTGGGCTGAGCAGAGGGTGGCAGCCAGCTATGCCCCTGTGCCTACTGTACCCTCTCTATCCATCCTAGGCTGTGTGCTGTGAAGACCACATACACTGCTGCCCGGCTGGGTTTAAGTGTAACACAGAAAAGGGTACCTGTGAACAGGAAGGCCACCAGCTGTCCTGGATGGAGCAGGCCCCAGCCCGCTCCAGCCTACCAGACCCCCAAGCCATGAAGAGGGATGTCCCCTGTGATAATGTCACCAGCTGCCCCCCCTCCAATACCTGCTGTCGACTCATGTCTGGAGAGTGGGGCTGCTGTCCTGTCCCAGAGGTGCATGGCTAGTGGGGTAACATTGGGGGGACAGTGTCTTTGGCTGGGCAGGTGGCTCAACTCCTGTTACCTTGCTCCTCTGCTCTCTGCCTAGCCCACAGTGATACACCAGCTCTCAGATTTCATTCCTAGCTGGAGGAACTGAGCAGGAGAGGCAGAGTGGGGTAGGGGCTCAGTGTTTCATCCCATATAGTATAGATTCCTAGACCACTCTTTCTGCCCCCTCCTCCTGCACCCACCAGGCTGTCTGCTGCTCGGATCACCAGCACTGCTGCCCTCAGGGCTACACGTGCTTGGCTGAGGGGCAGTGTCAGAGGGGCAACAAGATTGTGGCTGGACTGGAGAAGATGCCTGCCCACCGGGCTTCCTTGTCCCAACCCAAAGACGTGGGCTGTGATCAGCACACCAGCTGCCCAGTGGGCCAGACCTGCTGCCCAAGCCTGAGTAAGGGCTGGGCCTGTTGCCAGTTGCCCCACGTGAGTACCCACCTGCCTACCACTGGAGTGGGGAGCTGAGTCCTGGGAGTGAGAGGGACAAGAGCATAATGCCAGTCTGTCCCCCTAGGCCGTGTGCTGTGAGGACCACGAGCATTGCTGCCCCACTGGGTACTCCTGCAATGTGAAGGCCCGAACCTGTGAGAAGGAGGTGGATTCTGCCCACCCTGCTGCCCACCTGACCGTTGGCCCTAATGTGGGTGTGGGGGCTGTGGAATGTGGAGGGGGGCACTTCTGCCATGATAACCAGACCTGCTGCCGAGATAGCCGTGGGAACTGGGCCTGCTGTCCCTATCGCCAGGTCAGTGCCACCCCCCTTCCCCGGAGCTGGGTGTGTGCCTGGCTAGGTCCTCTTTTGTCTAACTCTCATACCCTCCTCTGACCATCCAGGGCATCTGTTGTGCAGACCAGCGTCACTGCTGTCCTGCTGGCTTCCACTGTGGGGCCAAAGGCACCAAGTGTTTACGCCGGGAGACCCTGCGCTGGGACACTCCTTTGAGGGTCCCAGTCCCAAGACAGCTGCTGTGAGGAGGGATTGAGGACCAAAGACACATCATAGCCCTCAGTACCCTGCTCAGAGGGTGCCCACTGCTCAGGCCTCCCCGTCACCTCTCCCCCACCAAATTCTCCTGGGTCCCCCATTCTGAGTCCCCCCCATCACTGAGGTGAGGTCTCAGTCTAAGGCCTTCCCTATTAGATGGGGAGCTGTGGCAAAAGCCATTTTACAAGCTGTCATCCCCTCCTCCAATTTCTGTGGACCCTGTGGCCAGGTGCTCTTCCCTATCCACAGGTGTGTGTATGTGTGTGTGTATGTATGTGTTTCAATAAAGTTTGTACACTTTCTTAATAGAGTCTGATTTGGCCACCCTGCCTGCCCTCCACAGCGGACCCTTGAGCAGACGCCCCCATCCAGCACCCACATTCCCTCAACCCCACAGACACACACAGTTAATCTCACCAGTTTTATATTTGCTGTTGCCCACAGTGATCCCATCACATTATCCCCTGTTCCCCAGAGACTCCCCAGCCACTAGCCCTGTGACTCAGTAGCCCAGAGGTGGGCTAGTCAGCAAGCAGCACCCCTCCCTTCCCAGGAGTCCACAGAGAATGCCCCTCCCTTCCCAGCCCTCATAGGAGCAGCTGAGGCCTGGTTGCCCCTCCTGCTTTTCCACAATAGAACTTTCTATATACAGCCACGTTTATACAGGCACTGCTTCCCCCCACCCAGCCCTCCTCCCCAGCACCTCCCAATAGGGGTCTGGACCCCTCCCGCCACCTTCTTGGAGACAGACATAGGGTCCCTCCCAAGACATTACCCAGCATATACTACTGGACAGCTCCGCAGGCCCCTGGGTACTTTTCAAAGCCCAGTGCTAAGAGCAAGTGCCCCTGCAACCCCTGGGGCGCGCACCCTGGGAACGGGCCCAGGCGGACAGGGTGGAGCCCGACCCGGAGGCTGCGCCAGGCCGGGAGGGGGTGCTATTTGACGTTGAACACCATCAGCGGCCGCTCCTCTCGCCGCTGCCAAGGGCTCTTCTTGTCGCCCGCCTCGTCGCCCACCTCCGCCCCCAGCTCGTCTTCCGGACTGGTGAGCGAGTCGCGCCGTAGCTCGCTGGCGCTGCTGCGGGAACTGTCCCCGCGGCTGCGGCCCCGACCCCGGGGTACCGTGGCCGCTCGGCCCTCCGGCGCTGCCACCTCGTCCAGCAGCGGTGTCAGCGAGTTGTCCTCCGGGGAGCAGAGGCCCGTGCGGCTCTCGCTGCTGCTGGGCTCCGTGTCCTCGCTGAGCGCCAGGCGC